CTTAAATTAATTTAAAAAAATTTTTAATTTTTAACTAATTTTTTAAAAATTTTGAATTATTTTTTCTTTAAATTTTGAGTTAATTTTTTAAAAATTTATCGCTAGGCATCGATACACAACGTTATGGAATCCGTCGGCGCGGTATCGAGCAGGCAATATGTTAAAAAAAATCATGCAAGTTCAATTCTTGCAAGACGTCTGGGCCGAGACAGGTGCTTGTTGATCAAATAAATCCAGAAAATTACAAATAAAGAAAACTAGTTCACCACCCCGTCGTCGTCGTCGTGATTTACCAAAAAATCCAGCAAAAGAAAACTCAGATATTTCCCGTATTTACCCAAAAATCCTGCAAAGGAAAATTAGACATTTCCTGTATTTACTGAAAAAAATCCAGCAAAGGAAAATGGATTTATTTCCTGTATTTACTGAAAAAATCCAGCAAAGGAAAATCGAGATATTTCCGTATTTACCAAAAAAAAAATCCAGCAAAGGAAAATTGAGATTTCCTGTATTTACCCAAAAATCCAGCGAAGGAAAATGGATTTATTTCCCGTATTTACCCAAAAATCCAACAAAGGAAAATGGATTTATTTCCCGTATTTACCCAAAAATCCAGCAAAGGAAAATTCAGAGATTTCCCGTATTTACCCAAAAATCCAGGCAAGGAAAATTGAGACATTTCCCGTATTTACCCAAAAATCCAGGCAAGGAAAATTGAGACATTTCCCGTATTTACCCAAAAATCCGGCAAAGGAAAATGGAGATTTTCGTGTATTTACCAAAAAAATCCCTCTCTCTCTCTCTCTCTCTCTTACCCATGGTTGGAGTCCGGCAGCAGGGAGTTTGCAGGTCCGCGGGTTCGAGGCCGGGGACGGGGACGTGAGCGAGCGATCCGGACCCCGGGCGGGCGTTTGCAGCTCTGGCTGCGCCGGGCGGGCGTTTGAAGGTCCGCGGGTTCGAGGCCGGGGTCCGGGCGGGCGTTTGCAGGTCCGCGGGTTCGAGGCCGGGGTCCGGGCGGGAGTTTGCAGGTCGAGCCGGACCCCGGGCGGGCGGGAGTTTGCAGGTCCGCGGGTTCGCGTCCGGACTCCGGGCGGGCGTTTGCAGCTCTGGCTGCGCCGGGCGGGGGAGGAGGCTGTGCCTGCCAGGCGGGTCACGTGGCTCCTCCTTGCAGCCTCATTGTGCCCTGTGCCTTTGCTTTCAATTTCTGCCGTATTTTTCTTTTTTTCCTCCCCATGTTTACATCCTTTTTGCTTCTCAAAGAAGAATCGTCACGAGAAGCAAAGAATGATTAGCAAATAATAATTGTCATGCAAAGCAAATAATAATTGTCATGCAAAGCAAAGAATAATTAGCAAAGAATAATTGTCACGTCCATGCAGAAGCCGTAGGACGCGGTTCAGAACTTGCACTCTTTTTTTTCTTTGTTTTTCCTCTCTCCTTGAACGTGCTGCTTGCACAACAACATTTCAACTAATTCTGCTACGTTATAAATTGTTACTGTCTTCGGCTTAATGTTCAGATCAGAAACTGCCTCCCCGTGGAACGGATGAACTTGTTGCACAATGAGACGCTGCACTCTTATGTTTTGCAAGGGAAAAAAAAACAAAATCTCAACTGAATTCGATCGGTGCTAATGGAACAAGATGGAAAAATCCACCTTGGTGGGAGGAGCGGGTTTTGGGAAGGGACGGGGGGGATCCAAGTGCCTGTAAAACTGCGTCTCATGATGCAATGTAATAAAAAAAAAATACAAAAAACAAACAAGCCAAAAAAAGCAAAGGGGGGGACAATGGCAGTCACAGGATGAGACGGCCCAGCAAACGCAAACAAGGTTTAAAAAAAAAAAATTATTTGTTTTTTCTCCAATTTCCCTCCTCCGGCCGCTGGGAAACTTGAGGGTGTGCACAGACACAAGTGCAGGGAAGCTTAAAAAAGAGAAAAAGAAAGAAAATCCAACGTGCGAGGCATTTTGAGAGTCACAGTTATACGAAGCTGCAAAGACAAAAGGAACAACAACAAAAAACAAATGGGACCCTCTTCCTTTCAGCATAAAAAATCATAGTTATACAAAGTTGCAAAGGCAAAAGGAACAAAAAACAAAAAACAAATGCAACCCTCTTCCTTTCAGCATAAAAATCTGGCAGCCATTTGATGAGTGAAGCAAAGGATGCAAGCTTTCCCTCTCTTCTTCTAAGTCCAGTTTTCAACTTAAATGAATCAAATAATTTTTTTTAAAAAATAGGAAGGGTATATGGGTTCATACGTTAAGGTGCGCAAAGCGGACCCAGACCTAAAAATTAAAAATGCTACATGGTCACAGCAAGCAAAACCCCAAGCAAAAACCCAAGCAAAAACCGAAGCAAAACCCCAAGCAAAAACCCAAGCAAAAAAAAACCCAAGCAAAAACCCGAGCAAAAACCCAAGCAAAAACCCGAGCAAAAATGAATATAAATGGCGTGCCAGAATCGAAGTAAAATTAAGAGGAGAGCTAATTCATGCATCACATTTTACTGAGCAATAAAATCTAAATTATTTATGCTCAGTCATGAATAAAATGCAGCTTTCAATTTCAAAAACAAAAAAACAGGCTTGCACGGGGGAGGCCATTCGCCCCACGCAAAGCAAAAAAAAAAAAAGGGAGCTACAGATGAGAGAACAGTGACGTCTTTCATGAATTCTTTCCGGAAACTTCTTTCTTGTAGCCAATGTGCTCCGTGCATAACATTCTCCATGATCATCTATTGTGCTCTGAATTCACACATGGAGAAATGGAACCTTTTTATCCTGAATGCTTTATTTTATTTTATATATATATATATTTTTTTGGTGCAATCCGCGGAAATTTGTTATTTAAACCTATTTAGCAGGATGGAGACCCAGAATGCTTTATTTTATTTTATTTTTTCTGCAATTCGCGGAAATTTGTTATTTAAACCTATTTAGCAGGATGGAGACCCAGAATGCTTTATTTTTTATTTTATTTTTCTTCTGCAATCCGCGGAAATTTGTTATTTAAACCCTGTCTAGCAGAATGGAGACCCAGAATGCTTTATTTTTTATTTATTTTTTTTTCTGCAACCCGCGGAAATTTGTTATTTAAACCCCGTCTAGCAGGATGGAGACCCAGAATGCTTTATTTTTTATTTTTTTTTTTTGCTGCAATCCGCGGAAATTTGTTATTTAAACCTATTAGGCTTACGGAGGTGAGATGGAGCACGTGGGTGGTAGGAGCAAAAACTTACCGAGGCCACGTGGATTTCAAAAAAAATATTTTTGAAACATTTTGAAATATATATATATTATATTATAAAAATAATATAAAAATATAAAAGTTTTTTTTTTTTTTTTTGGCACCAAAAAATAAACTTGTCCTTTAATTCCATCTTCCCGTGAACTTTCGGAAGTAACCTTGCATTTTACCAAGGAGGAGCAGGCAACGCACCCGGCAAGGACTTCACTTATCTGAAACCGAGCACAGTGACCGGGCTTGCGGGTTCCAGCTCTGTGTCTCAGATCCAATAATAGAAATAGAAATAGAAATAATATGATCTAATATATAATATTTAATAATATATAAAATATAATACTTTATAAGAATATAAAAGGGCGATTTGCATCCCATCAGAGTAGCAGGTGGCCACCTACAGATGAAATTCTAGCCCATGGCTTATGTTATAAATAAAGTTTTGTTAGAAAAAACAAAAGGCAAACGCAACAAGGCAGTGTCTCTGGCAGAGACTTTTAATGAACACAACACTGTCGTGAGCGATTCCTCGCTAGGTGCAAAGTCTGACGCCTTTTCCGTGAGGCCGTGTCGGGGCAGAGACGAACGGGGGGCGGGAGATTCGAAGTGAAGGGAGGGATATTGGAAATAAAGGGAGGGATATTGAAAATGGAGGGAGGGATATTGAAAATGGAGGGGGGGATATTGAAAATGGAGGGACGGATATTAAAAATGAAGGGAGGGATATTAAAAATGGAGGGTGGGATATTGAAAATGAAGGGAGGGATATTGAAAATGGAGGGAGGGATATTCCAAATGGAGGGAGGGATATTGGAAATGGAGGGAGGGATATTGAAAATGGAGGGGGGGATATTGACAATGGAGGGAGGGATATTGAAAATGGAGGGAGGGATATTGAAAATGGAGGGTGGGATATTGAAAATGGAGGGAGGGATATTGAAAATGGAGGGAGGGATATTGAAAATGAAGGGAGGGATATTGAAAATGGAGGGAGGGATATTGAAAATGAAGGGAGGGATATTGAAAATGGAGGGTGGGATATTGAAAATGAAGGGAGGGATATTGAAAATGGAGGGTGGGATATTGAAAATGGAGGGAGGGATATTGAAAATGAAGGGAGGGATATTGAAAATGGAGGGTGGGATATTGAAAATGAAGGGAGGGATATTCCAAATGGAGGGTGGGATATTGAAAATGGAGGGTGGGATATTCCAAATGGAGGGAGGGATATTGAAAATGGAGGGAGGGATATTGACAATGGAGGGAGGGATATTGAAAATGGAGGGAGGGATATTGAAAATGGAGGGTGGGATATTGAAAATGAAGGGAGGGATATTGAAAATGAAGGGAGGGATATTGAAAATGAAGGGACGGACATTGAAAATGAAGGGTGGGATATTGAAAATGGAGGGTGGGATATTCAAAATGAAGGGTCGGATATTGAAAATGAAGGGACGGATATTGAAAATGAAGGGAGGGATATTAAAAATGAAGGGTGGGATATTGAAAATGGAGGGTGGGATATTGAAAATGGAGGGACGGATATTGAAAATGAAGGGACGGATATTGAAAATGGAGGGTGGGATATTGGAAATGAAGGGACGGATATTGAAAATGAAGGGAGGGATATTAAAAATGAAGGGTAGGATATTGAAAATGGAGGGTGGGATATTGAAAATGAAGGGACGGGATATTAAAAGTGAAGGGACGGATATTAAAAATGAAGGGACGGATATTGGAAATGGAGGTGGGATATTCAGAACCTGAGCGGGATGACCGGCCAGTACTTGGGCCGCCTCCTGTCACAGTGTTTGTCGAAGCCGAGCTGCACGGCGGCCTCCATGGCCTGGATCCTGGCGGCGGCCTCCCCGTACAGCAGCGCCATCTCAGCCCGGCGCCGTTCGCCAGGCCTCTGCGCCGGAGCCTCGGCCGAGCGGCGCGAGTAGTAGAGGTCGTGGCCGGCGTCCACGTAGTCGTCCAGCCGGGCCGCGTCCAGCTGCTGCTGCCGCCCTGGGGACAAAAGGTCAAAGTGCAAACGGAGTTAAAACCTGTGACTTGTCAAACTTGTGACTTGTCAAACTTGTGACTTGTAAAAAAACTTCTGACTTGTAAAACTTGTGACTTGTGAAACTTCTGAGAAAAAAACCCTGGGACCCTGCACCCGCGTGGGAGACCCAGAAGAGGCTCCTGGCTCCTGGCTTCGGATCCTGGCGCAGCACCGGCCGTTGCGCTCACTCGGGGAGCGAATCATCGGCCGGAAGATCTTCCTCTCTGTCTCTCCTGCTCTCTGTGCATCTCTGCCTTTCCAATGAAAATAAATCTTGATAAAAATCAGTTTATCATGATACAAAAAAAAAGTTTTGAAATCCACGTAAAATAAATCTTGATAAAAATCAGTTTATCATGATAAAAAAAGACATTTTGAAATCCACGTAAAAATAAATCTTGATAAAAATCAGTTTATCATGATACAAAAAAGACATTTTGAAATCCACGTAAAAATAAATCTTGATAAAAATCAGTTTATCATGATAAAAAAAGACATTTTGAAATCCACGTAAAAATAAATCTTGATAAAAACAAGTTTATCATGATACAAAAAAGACATTTCGAAATCCACGTATAGTTTTTCCGTTCGAAGATCCTCAATAAAAATAAATCTTGATAAAAATCAGTTTTTACCCGAGAGGGCGGAGACAGAGGGAACAGGCACGGGGGGCCCAGCACTCACGCCGCTCCGCTCGGTGCTTCTCCGTCGTGGCGAAGAACTGGCGCAGCTCCTCGGTGATCTCCATGTTGCTCAGGTCGCATTCCACCTCCTCCTCCTCCTCCTCCTCCTCCTCCTGCTCTTCCTCCTCCTCCTCCTCCTCCTCCTGCTGCTCTTCCCACTGGGGCCTGGTGCTGCTGCAGGGAAGCTGCCCGCCCCTCGTGCAACAACGTGCACCGCTGCAGCGCGAGTCCCGCGAGGCCATTCGATGGTCAGGGAGCTGAGGGTACTCGGCGTAAGCACCCTGGGGAGGGTACTCGGCGTAAGCACCCTGGGGAGGGTACTCGGCGTAAGCACCCCGGGGAGGGTACTCGGCGTAAGCACCCTGGGGAGGGTACTCGGCGTAAGCACCCTGGGGAGGGTACTCGGCGTAAGCACCCCGGGGAGGGTACTCGGCGTAAGCACCCCGGGGCTGAAGCCCAGCAGCACAGTACCCCGGGGGGCCGAGGCGGGCCTGCAGCGCCTTGCCGTACGCGCGCCGGTGGCTCCGCACCCACGCCGCGGCCTGGCGGTAATGGCGCCAGTACCGTGCGTAGGCCGGGTGAGAATCCCACGGGCGAGGGGCATCTGACGCCGACGCCTAAAAAAAAACACAGTTTTTTAATTTACAAATATCTGCTCACCCTTACACAGTTTTTATTTACAATTTTTAATTGACAAATATCTGCTCCCCGCAGACTAAAAACGGTTCATAGTCAACACAGTTTTTTAATTTTCATTCTGGGTGAGAAATGGCTGCCCGGACTGCACAGGTGAAGGGATCAGGGCTTCAAACACTAAGCTTTATTATTATTATTATTATTATTAATTTTTTTTCTTATGAGTTAAAAAAAAAAAACTTACCTCTGCCGCCGCCATCTCTGATTGTGCAACTTTTTTTCTTATGAGTTTTTCTGCCGCCGCCACCTGCACTGCAGAGGTGGATGAACACGAGGGACCCCGGGTGCTCGGCTTAGTCCTCCTAATCACAGGACGAAGGGGGATCAGGGCTTCAAACACTGAGGTTTATTATTATTATTATTATTATTATTATTATTATTATTATTATTTTACAGGACAAAGGGGGATCAGGGCTTCAAACACTGAGGTTTATTATTATTATTATTATTATTATTATTATTATTATTATTTTACAGGATGAAGGGGGATCAGGGCTTCCAACACTGAGGTTTATTATTATTATTATTATTATTATTATTATTATTTTACAGGACGAAGGGGGATCAGGGCTTCAAACACTGAGGTTTATTATTATTATTATTATTATTATTATTTTACAGGACGAAGGGGGATCAGGGCTTCCAACACTGAGGTTTATTATTATTATTATTATTATTATTTTACAGGACGAAGGGGGATCAGGGCTTCCAACACTGAGGTTTATTATTATTATTATTATTATTATTATTATTATTTTACAGGACGAAGGGGGATCAGGGCTTCCAACACTGAGGTTTATTATTATTATTATTATTATTATTATTATTATTTTACAGGACGAAGGGGGATCAGGGCTTCAAACACTGAGGTTGATTATTATTATTATTATTATTATTATTATTATTTTTTGCCGCCGCCATCTCTGATTGTCCAAGTCCGAATGAGGCACGGAACGTAGTTTTGGGGTCAAAGGAACCTGGAACCTTCACATAAATACATGTATAAAACAGGAACAGGATTCGCCAACTCTCAACCGAAATCAAACTAAGCCCCTTCAAGGCCTGGGGAAAATACACCTTTCTGACAGTGTAGATACAACGTTACCTCAGCAGGCGGTGTAGATACAACGTTACCTCAGCCGGAGGATAAACTGTTGCTGCACTAAATACCTGAACACAAAGCGGAGTCTGCAGCTGCTGCACCTACTACAATTAATTTAAAATTCATTTAAAATTAATTAATTTAATTAATTTAATTAAAATTAAATTAATTTAAAATTAATTAAGATAATTGTATTATCTCCCTGAGGTTCAGAGCTAACGAATCGATGATCTCTGTCTCTCTAAACGCACAAATGAGGAAGTAAATCTTTTCAAAAAAAGTTAAATCATGAACACTTACCTTGAAAAACTTGAGGCTTTGAAACTTCGGAAAATCAGACGCCGCAGATACTGAATTTCTACTTCGCTTAAACGCAGGATTGAAACAGCTCCGACCTTAAGAAAATATTTTGTCATCTCTATTGAGGGTCTTTGCAGCATCTGTGTTACAGACTTAGATGTGAAATTGTCTCGTAATCTTTCATACGCTTTTTACATACGAGCAGCTTGCAAATCTGCTGAAGAGCTGACACGACCTCCTATAAACTTATCTAAAACCTGGTCCACGTGTATTTTGCGCTGTGCTAAATTGAGGACATCTGCATACAGGCAGGGAATATAAACCAGAAAAAAAACTTAAAGGGCAGCAAATTAGTCATTAGTTTTATATAATAACTTAAAGTCTTGCAACATGACTGCACAGATTCAAGTGCATTCCATGGGTCTCCGTCACATTTGCCGACGTCCCGAAAATTAACTTTTGAATCTCTATGCCTTATCACATATACTGAGAATCAGGTCGACATTAAATATCAATCACCCTGAATTGGGAAGTATGACAGTACATAATTAAAAAAAAGAATCAAATCATCACTGTGATTAAACATCACTGCAGATCGAGTCTCGCTTTCACTTGCAACTGGGAAAAATCCAGCCTGGTGCAAAAAAGGTTGCATCAATATTACGAACACGCACAAGACGGCTGCAAAGCACGACGCTCTCTGGGCTGCTGAGTGGCCGTAAATGACTTGCTTGTGCCTCTGTTTCCGTGCATAATTTGGTGGGACGGTTGCTAAGCAACGCCGAGTGAAAAAACACCAGCAGAGTGTGCGAGCCGGGGTTTTTTTTTTTTTTTTTTAAAGATTTATTTTGATTATTTTTTCATTGGAAAGGTGGATATACAGAGAGGAGAGACAGAGAGGAAGATCTTCCGGCCGATGATTCACTCCCCAAGTGAGCACAACGGCCGATGCTACGCCGATCCGAAGCCGGGAGCCAGGAGCCTCTTCCGGGTCTCCCACGCAGGTGCAGGGTCCCAAGGCTTTGGGCCGTCCTCGACTGCTTTCCCGGGCCACAGGCAGGGAGCTGGAAGGGAAGTGGAACCACTGGGACACGAACTGGAGGTTACTTTTAAGATCCCAAAAATCCCATCAATACTACAATAAATAATGTTTATAACTGATCTGAGTTCATATTAAACTAATCTCTCTGAAACTGATCAAGACGAGGTATGGAAAAGCCAGTCTAAATGATGATTAGTTCAGCATCTCCCAGTATGATGATTCTTTACTTCTTGCTAGCATTTCCTTCCAGGAAAGGCCAGAGAAGAAACGTTTCAGGTTTGTGGGGCCACATATAACGCACGGGAGATCTCTCTGTGTGTGTAACACTTGCAACGAAAATAAATGTCTTTTAAAAAAATAGCAAGACATATTCTTGACACATTGGAAGTGCAAAAAAAAAAAAAAAAAAACAGATTGACCCACTCCCATTTAAATCATCAGCTTGGAAAGATTTCACTGGAAACAAAAGTCTTTCTTCAGATAAGTGCTGAGATGAGAAAGGCATAGGCAATTTTTTTGCAAAACATGTTTGTTTCACTTGAAAAGGAGAGGAGAGATTTTTTTTTTTTTTTGCATCTGCAGATTCACTGCCCAAAATGCCCAGAAACAGGCGGGACGAGGTGAGGCTGACGCCCAGAGGCCTGGGAATTGGAAAATTGATCCTGCTCTTCTTGGAGCGGGTTACTTTCTTGCACACGGAGACTCCGAACGTCCAGGCTGCCCGGGGCCTGTGCAAAGCCAACATGCACCGTCCCTTTTGCAGCAACGCTTGCAGACATCACGCTGCTTAATCAATGCAACGGGAATGGTTATTAATGCAACGGGAATGGTTATTAATGCAACGGGAATGGTTATTAATGCAACGGGAATGGTTATTAATGCAACGGGAATGGTTATTAATGCAACGGGAATGGTTATTAATGCAACGGGAATGGTTATTAATGCAACGGGAATGGTTATTAATGCAACGGGAATGGTTATTAATGCAACGGGAATGGTTATTAATGCAACGGGAATGGTTATTAATGCAACGGGAATGGTTATTAATGCAACGGGAATGGACGCGGAGCTCCAGATGGGTTTGCAACCGTCTGGTTTTCTCTCACTGCTCGTCCGCCGGGGAGCAGGGGCCTCCTCACGCTACCACAGTAACGTGGCTCCCAACAGGCCGGTGGGACGGAAAGGAAGGCGGTTGGCAACGCCAGGCAAGGCCAGGATCTGGTCCCCCCGAAGCCGGGCACAATGGCAGCTCGGTCCCCGCCCGGCTGGGCACATCCAGCACACTGACCAGGCATTGTCCCTCTTCAATCACCCAAGCAAGGAACAAAAACAGGCTTGAGGTCATTTCGGCCTCCCGGTGAATGCTGCATTTTCCCAGAGTCTCCAGAAAAAAAAATGCTTTCATTCTTCAGCGAATCCCCCCCTCTATTCGGGAAAATATATTTTTAGAGGCACAAATCTCCAAGAGCAACGACGACAAAGAGTTTCAAGACTTAAAATGCGCCCCGCTCCCACCAAGCGACCGAACAGCCCACAGACGAACCTTGTTGACGAGCAGTGCCATTTCACAGACACAGTTTAAATCCTGAATGTTTAAAACTGCAGACGTACGTTATGTCACAGCAACCAAATTAAACAAACTGCCCTCAGAACCGACACATACTCCAATACCTAGACTTTCCTTTCCATCTTATTTTCCCTTTTCCACCAGAATTCAGAATATTAAATACACGAAAACCACCTGTACCTTGCTTTTCGCACAGTCGCGTGGAAAGCCAATCAGTAAAGGAGTTACTCTAGCTAAAGCCCGGAAAAATCAAACCTTTCCAGAAAACCGACACATACTCCATACCTAGACTTTCCTTTCCATCTTATTTCCCTTTCCCACCAGAATTCAGAATATTAAATATTAAATACACGAATATTAAATATTAAATACAGAATATTAAATACACGAAAACCACCTTGCTTTTTGCAGAGAGTCACATGGAAAGCCAATCAGTAAAGGAGTTACTCTAGCTAAAGCCCGGAAAATCAGCAAGTGAAAGCCAAAATCAAGGAAGGGAAGGGAACACACTGGCTCTCCTGTGCTCTCCCTTTGCTCTGGAGGAATTTTCTGCACAAGCAGGGCTAATCTTACTGGAGATGTTTTGCAATAACACAGACGTTGGCAGGAAGGGCCTCAACTAAGATATTAATACACGGACCTTGCCGTTTTTAACAGTCAGCACAGATCCAGGAGCAGAGAGAGTCGACAAAATGTGGATTTCCTTTGCATCCTCACGGTTCGTCCCCCTTGTGGATGTTTCCGTAAAAACTCTGGTCACAGAGGAGGAACAGCATAAGGGGAGAAGATGGAAAAGGATGTAACTTATAAGGCTCCTCCCTCCCTAGCAACGCCATTCCACCCACAGAAGGCCGTCGTGTGATTGGTTAAGGATGATGGATTTATCCGCAAGTTCGCCGACTCCCCACGTGATAAGCGTCAGAATCAGTAGCAAAACGTGAGACAAAAAAAACAAAAACAAAAAACCCAACAACGCTACTGACTCTGGAACACCACAGGCTAACTGAAAATACTGCCATAGCTGAGGACTTTTGCTTCTTCGAAAGAAAAAAAGATTAAATTTGTTCCACTGCAAGCCGACTCTTCACACAGCAATGCCTGCTGTGACCATCAACACTGCCTGCATGTTTTCATTACAGCTATTATTATTACTACAGCTATTTTATTACAGCTATTATTATTATTACA